GGGGACTCCTTGCCTAAGGTCCCACCTCCCTGGGAGCATCTTATCCCACCCTCTCCAAATGGGCCATGCAGAGTGAAGGGGTGGGGGTGAAGTGGGGATTCCCAGCTGCTGGGTTCTCTCCCTTGTCTATCCTCCTCCTCCTACACCTCTTTCTCCCTCCTTGCTTCCCTCCTCCTCCTCTCTCCTTTCACTTTCCCTTCTGCCTCCCTGGGAAAATCCAGGATGTGAGGATTTGAGTGTGCCAGGGGAGAGTCCAGGGCAGGTTGGAAGTGATGGGGTGGGAAAGAAGGAGATTGAAAAACAGAATCAGAGAGAGAGACAGAGAGACAGAGAGCTTCAGAGATACAAACAGAGAGGAAGGATAGAGAGATGGATACAGAGAGAGAGAGAGAGAGAGAGAGAGAAGATGAGGTCAGAGAGTAACACTCAGTCACAGAATAAAAAAATCAGAGACCAAGATAAGAGTCAGAAGTTTAGAGAGACAGACAGACAGCAATCTTCCTTTCCCTTCCTCTTACTTCTTCCTCTCTGTCTCCCATTCTGACTTCTTATCCTGAGCTCACTCATTCACTTGACACTTGTTTATTGAGTTTCTACAAGGTACCAAGCACTAGTTTAGGCTTCCAGGACAGACAGTCATCATCGACACTGCCTGTGTAGAGTCTGCATTCTAACAAGGAAAACAGACATTATGCAAAAAACAGATGCTAAATGAACAAGTTTATACATAATGTAGGGAGGTGGTCAATGCTAATAGGAAAAGGAAAGAGCAGAGGTGGGTTAAAGGGGTCAGGATTCCAGGGTTGGGGCTGCTTTGAACAGGGGGAGTCAGATAAATCAGTTTCCCTCTTCCTCTCTCTTCTATCTCTCAGTATTTACACTCTTTCAAAGCAGTTCTTTTCCAACTCAGCACATCTAGAAATCTACCTGGTTTTAAGTATTTGACAAAACACAGACTTCTTCAAGTTACTTTCCAGGGAACCCTTACTCTCCCTAGTTCCTCAGGAAGCAAGTACAGTAGTCCCCAGCCCTCTTACTCATGGAGGATACATTGCAAGACCCTCATTGGACTCCTAAAACCACAAGGAGTACCAGTCCATACCCAAGCCAAGAACTTTCACTTTTTTCCCTAATGGAAACACTTTACAGCTTCTCTTTGTAATACCTGAGGTGCCATTATTACTTCTTTTCTGCCTTGAAATCATCTTTACACCTGATCTGAATCAAAAGGCCAAGAAGTGATCAGAGCAATTTTTAAGCAAAATAAGGGTTACTTGAAACTAAGTATAACAATCTGGCAGTAGTAGTGATACTAGCAGTGATTATCACTGTAACAATATCATTAGTAGTGATCATCTAGATGGCCAGTAAGTGTCTAACGAGTGGGTAGGATATACAGTGTGGATGCACTAGACAAAAGATGATTCACATTCCAGGGAGAACCAAGTAGCACAGTGTTAGAGCCCATCATTCTACTAAGAAAAACACAATTTAAAACTTAGAAATTGTTTAAGGATTTTCCATTTAATATTTTTTGGAGCATTCAATAGTTTCGGTTACCCCAGAAAGAGAAACCTTGGATAACGGGAGACCTATGATAACCATCAAGATCCGTATCTCCTGAAATAGGATGAGGGAAGGAGCAAGTGTAATCTGAGATAGCTCAGGTGAAGGACTCAAGAGTGTTGTTGGTCACATCCCTGGTCCACCTCCCAGTCTTGTGCGCCTTGCTCCTTGTGGTTCCCTCCTGAACCTCTGCCCATTCTTGCTCACATTTCCCAAAGGCCCTCATCAGGCCCAAAGCCTCAACTCCAACCCAGCTCAGACTCAGAACTTCTCTGCAACCCAGAGAAGGTCCTCAGATCTGTGACATAAACTCGCCACCCACCAAGTCACCCTGGCCAAGAAGCCCAGCTCCTTCTCTCTCTGCCCAATTTGTCCCTCACACAAGCCCAGAGCTGATCTTAACTCTCCTAGGCTCCCAGCCTTCAGGTGGCTCCCTAGTACCCCCAGCCTCTGAGTCTGTCACTCACCCTACCTCCTACCTCCTTGTGTTGCCATTTATGCTTTCACAATATCAATCTTTCTGGACTGGCCACACCTTTTCTTGCCTTGGCTGTTTTCTCCATTCTCCACCTTCCATCCTCACCATTACTATGACTAACACTTCATCAGTCAAGATCACCTACTCCGGGAAGCCCCCCTGACTCTCTGGCTGGGTCAGACCATTCCTGCCCTGGTGTGTGGTCCTCTGTTTACACAGCTGTCTCCTCCACCAGATTGGCATCTCTTCCAGGGCAGATCTCTCTGCTGAGTCATCTCTGAGTGCCCGGCATTGCCCAGCACAGAGACCCACCCACCAACAGCTCAAGAGAGGTCCCCGTGATGATAAATATTTTTCCTCTGCATCTTCTCCGTTTTTGCCCTTTCTCCCACACCCTTTGCTCCTTCTGTCCTGGAATTCTGTAAACACATCCTGTAATTTTTTCATGATGACCAACACCTTGAGAAAGACACTGTGGACCCAGGGCAGGGACCAGAAACTAGCAAGCATTGGAGGTGAGGGTTCTGGGAGAGATGACTAGAAGAGATGATGCTGGAGGGCCCTGCCTCCTGTGGGAGTGCCCAGTTTCATCTGTTCCTTATCACCTGCTCTTATCTTCACTGCTTCCAGCCCTGATCATCTATCCCTGCAAGGAATTCTGGGGCCTGGACTCCTGGATCTGAAGGAGGAGGGGATGAGGTCTGAGAGAGGATTACTGGGGTCTGGACACTTGCGTGTGAGGGAGGAGGGCTGGGGCCTGGACCCCTGTGTGTGAGGGAGGAGGGCTAAGCCTAAACTCCAGGGTCTGAGGGAGGAGGGTTGAGGCCTGGACCCCTGGGTCTGAGGGAGGAAGGCTGGGGCCTGGGCCCCTGGGTCTGAGGAAGGAAAACATTGGGGTTTAAGGTCCTGCTTCCAGAAAATAAAAATAATAAAATAAAATAAAATCTGGTCCCTCTTTCTCATGCGCTCTCTGGTTTTAGAAACATCTGGTTTTATACAGCTGCTCCACCCGGCAGGGCAGGGCCAGGCAGCCAAATGCCCATTTCTTGGGTAGAGCCTGGGCTGTCCCCTCCCACCAGTAGGGAAGCCCCTCCTGCCTTCTCTGGGCTTGCCTCCATCTGAGGATCTATCATCCTGATACAGCCAGACACCAGGAGGGCCAGGATCCAGTCAACAGCATTAGACACAGCCTGGTCCACCCTAACGGGTGGGCGATGCCTAGGCTCCTGTTCCCATGGGCTTTCTCCTGGACCGCCAGGCTTAGGCAACAGCTCAACCCAGTGCTGGCCCCTAGCTCCTTCCCTGGCTGGGGAAACCCAGGGTGTGAGGACTTGGCTGTGTTAGGAGAGAGCTCTAGGGCTGACAGGAAGACATGGAACAACGGGGAGAAAGGAAGATTGAGAGACAGAAAAAGGGAGAATCGGCGAATGAGAGAGAGAGAGATGCATACAGAGAGAGAGGTGGAAATGTAGATTGAGTGAGAGAGAGATAGATTGATGATGAAGATGAAGATGAGATAGATGATAGACAGACAGACAGCTAAGTAAACAGACAGAGACGTACAAATACAAGATAAGAAAGTCAGGGAGAGACTCAGAAAGAGAGCTATAGAAGAAGTCAGGAAACGGAGAGTCAGAAATTTAGAGACAGACAACACAAACCCAGAAAGAAGCAGATAGAAATGAGGTGGGTGGCAAGGGGAGAAACAGATAGAAATACACAGACAGGCAGACAGATAGACAGAAGGACAAATAAGGGCAGAGAGTGAGGGACAAAATGCCAAAGTTTCAGAAAAAGAGGCAGAGAGAGGGAGAGAGGGAGATGGGAAGGCACTGTGACAGAGTCGCAGACACAGGGAGAGGCAGAGGGAGACAGCTACTGCAGCAGGTTAGAAGTTATCACACCAGTTCATACCTGGTAAGAGGAACATTGAGAAAGGTAGTTTTAGGTAAACACTTCTTAAAATAATGGAAAGAAAGATGTGGAAACAGTGACATTTATCACTGGCCTTTGGCCTGAGTGGCTGGGGACCCAGACACTCCAGGTTACAATCTTTCTACCCTTCTCTGACTCAGTTTTCCCTGATGTGTCAAGGCACTGAAAGCCTAGGCTGTTCCCTGGAGGCAAGTGACCAACAAGTCTGAATTCACCCATGAGTCCCTGGAGAGACAAGTTTTGGTGCTCCAACCCTCCACCCCAGACCCTAGCACATGCACGTGCAGACAGAAACACACACATATGCACACGCATAGACACCATGTCAGTCAGGGACACAACAGACAGATTTCCGGCTCCAGTTCCACGCAGCAGCCAAACCTCACAAGCCAGCGCACATACAGTCACACCCACAAACGCACGTGTGTGCGTTATATTCCATCTGCCAGTTGCTGATACATGTCCCCAGGGAACCAACTGCAGACACGGGTTCTGAGGATAGGAGGGGTGGGCTGTGGGAAGACAACAGGGCAGGGGTGAGTGGGTAACAGATGAGAGAGGAGAGAGAGAGAGTAAGGAGAGGGGACAAGGGAAGAGATGAGAAAGAGAGAGAGAGAGAAGTGGAGAGATGGAGACAGAAGGAGATAAGGAGAAATACAGAAAAAGCGAGACAGACAGGAGAGAGAGAGGAAGAGAAATAACAAAATTAGGGAAGAGAAGGTGGAAAGCAATACAGAGATAAGGGGGAACTCCCCAAATGCTAGAGCGAAAAAAGAGAAAAATAAGCAGAAAGGAGCAGCTAGGGGGAAGGGGGTGAAGAGGGCAGAAGTGTGGGACTGGGTTGAAGAGACTGGTTAGGGAAGCCTGTCTGGTGAGGGGGATGGGGCAATGGCGGGAAGCGGGTGGAGCTGCCTGACTGTCTGACCTCAGAGCCCCTGGACTGGTTTAGTCTGACATCACCCCTCCTCCGCCCCCGCCTATGCTGGTCTTCAAATGACCCCCCTCTAGCTAGTTCTCCAGCCACAGAGAGACCGGAGCTCAAGCCGAAGAGGACAAAGTACAGCCTGATCCACAGCCATGAGACAGGTGTGTGTGTGTGAGAGAGAAAGAGAGAGAGAGAGAGAGAGAGAACGTGTATATGTTGGGGAACTTCGTGAATGTGATTATACCTATGTGTATGTCATGTGACTTTATCTGCGTACTCGTGGGTGACAGTGACCATATGTGTGTGGGACAGCAAGCATGTCAGGCTGAGTGTGTGTTTCCATTTCTGTGTGCTCAGTGACATGTGTGGTCCATGTGTGGACCATCCACACATATGTCAGATGCAAGATGTCTATGTTTCTGTACTTTACTTTGCTATAAATCCATATATGTCTGTGTTCCCTCAGAGGGAAGAGAAAGAACAAGAGTGAGCAAGGAAAGGAGAGTGAGTGAGAAAGAGTGAGCTATGTTTGCCTGTAACACATGAATCTTGATTTCAGTATTATGTGTTCAACAAAAGTTTTGCCAAACCAAATGAAATCACTGCTATTCAGCTACTCTTGACTTAGGAAAACGGCAATTCTATATGATGCAAGCTTATCTTAACAGTTCATGATTTTTTCTGAAAACCTCTGTGTCTGATCCTTTACCCCAGACCCTGGAGGGGTGTCTGTGCTTTCATTGCTGTGTGAACATCTCTTCTTGATGTTGCTCCTTTCTGCTGAAGGGCGTGCATTCCCGTGCATGTGTGTGTGTGTGTGTGTGTGTGCATGTGTGTGCGTGTGTGTGTGTGTGTGTGTGTATGCAGGTCACCTGTGTGGCTGTCAGCGGGCGGTCCCGGAATTGATCGTTGTGTTCTGCCTGAGACAGGGTGCCCACGGAGTCTTGCAGAACTGTGTGTCCTTTGTCACGTGTGCATACATGAGTGTGTTAGTCCATACGTGTGTTTGTCAGTATTGCTAGAATCTTAAACTTCCAGATCCCTGCCCCTAGGAGCTACAGCAGGGCCAGATTTTAGACAAAAGAACAAAGAAAGAGAATTCTACAAGAAAGATAATTGGTTTTGAGCAATTAAAATGTTGACCTCAAGCCAGGCACACACACCTGTAGTCCCAGCTACTTGGAAGGCTGAGCTCAGCAGGAGGATTGCTTGAGTGCAGGAGTTCAAGGCCAGCCTAGGAAACATAGTGAGGTTCTGTCTGTTACCAAAAAAAATAAAAAATAAAAAATAAAACCCATAAAATCTCTTCCTTACCTCCGTCCTATAATGTGAGCCACAACTTACAATGGAAAAACTTCCTCTAAAAGTAAAAGGGAACAGGTGAAATTAATTGTAATAATGTATTTTATTTAACCCAATGTGTCAGGGGTTTGCCAACTTTTCTGCTAAATGCCGGTAGTACCTGAGGATTTGTGGGCCATACAGCCTGTCAGAACTATTCAACCTTAATGCTGAAATGGCCATGGATAACATGTAAAGAGAGGAGCTCGGCTATGTGACAATAAAACTTGGTTTAAGTGCACCGTAATTTAACTCCATATAGCTTTCTGCACCACAAAATATTGTCTTTTTTTTTTCTTTTTAAGCAGTACTGGGGTTTGAACTCAGGGCTTTGTGTTTCTTATGTAGGTCCCCACCACCTGAGCCCTTTTGACTTTGGCTTTATTTATTTTATATCTACCATGAGCCTGTTTAACTTTATTTATTTTCCACATAGGGTCTTGCACTTCTGTCCAGGGCTGGCCTCAGGCCTTGATTTTCCTACCTGTGCCTCCTTACTAGCTGGGATTACAAACTCGAACCACCACACCCAGCTTGTTATTTGAGAAAGGGAATTGCTAACTTTTTTTTTTTTTTTTGACTGGGCTGGCAACCTACCCCCACCTTCTAAGGAGCTGGGATTACAGATGTAATCCCACTGTGGTGGGTCAACTGGCTTTTTTTTTTCTCAACCACTTGAAAATGTAAAAAGCTGTTAGCTTGCAGGCAGTAGCAGGCCTTATCATGTCAATCTGTGCTATATATTTAAAAAATGATCTTTTCTATGTGTAATCAACACAAAAATACTAGTGAGATAATCTTTCTTTCCCTTGGAAACAGGCTTCAAAATTCAGTGTGTATTCCTAGTACATTTAATTCAGCTGCTACTTTTTCATAAGAAGTGCTTGATCTGGATAGAGATTTTTGTAAAAATTATCAATTGAATAGAGAAGCTTTGGGCTGGTGGAGTGGTACAGCACTGGCCTAGCAAAAGTGAGGCCCTGAGTTCAACCCCAGTACCACCACGAAACAAAACATAAAAAAAGCTTTGTAGATCCAACTTGTTCCAAATGCATTTAAAAGCTTTCCAATGGCTGGATGGTGTATTAGTTTTAAATTTTAAGATAATAAAAATTAAGGTCTGAGGGTATGGCTCAAGTGGTAAAGTGCCTGCCTGGCAAGCACAAGGCTCTCAGTTCAATCTCCAGTACTGACAAAAAAATACAGAAAGAAAACAAATAAATAAAAACCTAGCAATTCAGAGCCTCAGGTGCACTGACTGCATCTCAGTCTGTATTGGACCTTGAAGATCCAACTCTAAATGACTCATCTAACTCAACTTCATCCTGGGAGGCAGGAGCTGGTGGCCTAAGAGCTGGTTTAACATAGAGAGGGGGTTAGAGCCAGACTAGCTGAGTTTGAGCCCTAAGTCTTCTACTCACTTACCTCAGTGACCTTGACCAAGAGAACTGGCCTCCCTGGGCCTCAGTTTCCTCACCTGTAACAGAAGAGAGCAACAGTTTTTACCCCATAGGATTGTCATACAGCTGTATCAGGCATGTGAAAGATGCTACACACCCATTCCGCAGAAGAGAAAGCAGAGGCACCCTCCCCTCCTCCATCACCCACTGGCACCCAGCCCTGCAGGGGAGCTGGGCAGTAGAAAAGGGAAGCAGGTCAGGCTTCTGGGGAGCTAGAGAGAGGATTCCTCTGTCTGTGAGCCGGTCACCTCCTACAAGGCACTCCTTCTGGTTGGAGGACTTTTGTCATCTATATAATAGCTGCAAATGCTGTCTGTGTCCAAGGCTCTCCTGAGAGATAAAGCCAGTTGTAGTTTGGTGACGCTATTCTCTGTATTCAAATCCCAGAACTCCAGGTGTGACCTTGGGCAGAATGCTACATATATGTGTGACTCAGTTGCCCTATCTGTAAATTGGGGATGACAATATTTCTGACTTCACAGGGCTGTTGTGAGGATTGGAAAGTAAGTGAGTTCCTATAAAAAGCTAGAGCAGTACCTGGTACAAACCACTTTGTATTATTCTTTCAGTACATGTTAATTACTGCCTTGAGACAAAGACTGGTTTGGCTGTGAGATGAACTTGATTTTATGTGCCAGTAAGAAAGAGAGGGGAGCTCTGCCACACTCCATTGTGTATAATCCTCATGGAGTGACAAAATGCTAAAAATCTGAAAAATAACTTTTATTAGAAAGGATAAAATTGGGAGACTGAGACAGGGGTTATCACCAATTTGAGGCCAGTTTGTGCTACATAGCGAGTTTGAGCAAGCCTAAAAAAAGGCACTGTGTGTGGGTTGGGGCGGGAAATCAGATAAAATCAAGCAGTAGACCCGAGTTATAATTCCTTGCCACAATTACAATTATTTTCATTAGTGAAAATAATTTTGTAATGCTCAGAGGATCTTTACAAAAAGGAATGTCATCATCCAGTTTGGGAGGAGGGAAAAAACGTGGAGGTCTTCTCAGAGAAGGCCCTGCCTCACACATTTCCTTTTCCCCTCTTGGCTCCCTGCAGGAGGTGTCCAAGCCCACTCCAGCAGCACGCCGCTGCTCGGACCTGGCCCGGCGGGTGTTGACCATCGCCTTCGCCCTGCTTATCTTGGGACTCATGACCTGGGCCTATGCTGCCGGCGTGCCGCTGGCCTCCGATCGCTATGGCCTCTTGGCCTTTGGCCTCTATGGCGCCTTCCTCTCCGCACACCTGGTGGCGCAGAGCCTCTTCGCGTACCTGGAGCACCGGCGGGTGGCAGCTGGGGCGCGGCGGGCCGCGGCTCGGGGACCCCTGGAGGAGGCCACTGCCCGCAGCGTGGCACTGACCATCTCTGCGTACCAGGAGGACCCCGCGTACCTGCGCCAGTGCCTGACATCCGCGCGCGCCCTGCTGTACCCGCGCGCGCGGCTGCGCATCCTCATGGTGGTGGACGGCAGCCGTGCCGAGGATCTGTACATGGTGGACATGTTCCGAGAGGTCTTTGCTGACGAGGACCCCGCCACCTACGTGTGGGATGGCAACTACCACCAGCCCTGGGAGCCTGCGGCTGCGGGGGGCGTGGGCACCGGCGCCTACCGGGAGGTGGAGGCCGAAGATCCCGGGAGGCTAGCGGTGGAGGCGCTGGTGAGGACGCGCAGGTGCGTGTGCGTGGCGCAGCGCTGGGGCGGCAAGCGCGAGGTCATGTACACCGCCTTCAAGGCCCTGGGCGACTCGGTGGACTATGTACAGGTGAGTGGAAGATGCCGTCGCCCCACCTGTGACCTAACACCCCCCCCCTCCCATGGGGTCTTTTGTTCAATGTAGAGTATCCAATGAATCACTTCCTTCCTTTATTCATTCAACCACTCAAAGGAGCGATTCATTCATTCCCTCATTCATCCAGTCAAGGGAGGCATTCATTCACTCATCCACTCACTCACTCATTCACCCATTCATCGTTTGCTCATTTATTCACTCATTCATTCAAAGGAGCGGTTCATTCATTCATTCAACCGTCACTCATTCATTCATACGTGCAGCATGCCTTTATTTACTTGCTCAATGTAAGAAGTCATTTCTTTGAGCAAGGAGGGGTATGGTTCATGCCTGCAATTCCATAGCTACTCAGGAGACAGATTGGGCTGTAGGCCAGCCCCAGCGAAAAGTTAGCAAGACCCTATCTCAACAAAACACTATGATTATATGCATGATTACTGGACATGCCGGTGCACATCTGTGATCCCAGCTACAAGGAAGGCATAACTAAGAGGATCATGGTCCAGGCCACCACCAGACCCTACTTGAAAAATAACTAAAGCAAAAAAGGACTGGTAGCATGGCTCAAGTGGTAGAGGGCCTTCCTAGTAAACATAGGGTACTGGGTTCAACCTCCTGTTAGCACCAAAAACAAAACATTCCTTCATTTCCTTCTTCCTTCATGCATCCATTCCAGGCAAATTTCTTTATTTTATTCATTCATCCATTCACTCATTCATCTAATTATTTATTTGATAGAGACATTCATGTACTTAGCCATCCATCCAATATAAAATTAATCTTTCTTATTCATCCAGTGAAGAAATTCTTTCCTTCACTCATTCATTCATGAATGCATGCACCCATCTATCCATCCAATATGGAAACCATTGGCTCATTTATTTATTCATCAAATATAGAGCTCTGTCACCTCCCTCCCTCTCTCTCTCAGTGTTGAGATCTTGTTGCTCATTCAGCTGTCTGTCTGCTCAATATAGATTTTAATCTGTTTATTTAGTCATGCATTCATCCATTCAGTGTAGAGACTTATTCACTAATATATTACATTAGATTTCTATTGCTGCATAACAAATTATAAATTTGGCAGCTAAAACAAAACACTTCACACTTAGTTGTTATTGTAACTTATTATCTCATAGTTTCTCTGAATCAGGATCTTGGCAAATTAAGTGGGTATTGCCCACCATGCTGCAATTGAGGGATCAGCTGGAGATGGGGCTCATCCAAGGCTCAAGCCTCTTCCAAGTTCATTTGTTTGTGGCTGAATTCATTTTCTTGCAGCCATAGAACTCCTGGTAGCTCAAAAGCCAGCAAGACAGTATTTACAGCCAGGCATGGTGGTGAACACTTGTACTCCTAGTACTCTGGAAGCTGAGGCAGGAGGATTGCAAGTTCAAGGCCAGCCTGGTCTACATAATGAGTACAAGCCCAGCCTGGGCTAAGTAGCAAGACTGTCTCAAAATGGGACTTCTAGATCCTCTTTTAAAGTCTTCACCTGGTTAAGTCAGACCCACTCAGGATAGTATTCCTTTGACTCACAGTCAACAAATTAGGGACCTTAATTACATTGTAAAACCCACTTACCATTTCCATATAATAATCATATGCACTATATCCCATCACTTTTTACCATATTCTTTTGGTTAGAAGCAAGTTTACATGTCTCACCCACACACCAGAAGAAGGCATTGTACAAGGACATGAGTCTTTGAGTTCATTTTCAGATGTGCTTAGACACTAAAGATAACTGAACAATTCAAATTAGATTGTTTGCAGAGTGTCCTAGTTGCTCTTCCCTCATTCTTTGGTGCTCTCCCTCCAAGCACCAGTCCTGAGTAGAGGTCTGTTCTCATTCTGGCCCCATCCTCATCTTAGGTCTGTGACTCAGACACAAGGCTGGACCCCATGGCCCTGCTGGAGCTGGTGCGGGTCCTGGATGAAGACCCACGGGTTGGCGCTGTTGGAGGGGATGTACGGATCCTCAACCCTCTGGACTCCTGGGTCAGCTTCCTAAGCAGCCTGCGGTACTGGGTGGCCTTCAATGTGGAGCGAGCTTGTCAGAGCTACTTCCACTGTGTGTCCTGCATCAGTGGTCCCCTCGGTGAGTAGGGCTCGGGGGTGGGGGCTGTGGATGGGTGGAGAGGGAGAAGGGGAACCACAGAGACTGAGAATGTGGTTGAGGCTGGACACAAAGAGAGTGCTGGGGTAGCAAATGTGGATGAGATAAGGTTGGGGTTGGTGTTAGCAATGGTGTTTGGCTGGGTCTGAGTTTGGTGTGGAGAGCAAGGTTGATAAAGGGATATGAATGGAGATTGGGGTTGGGCTGGAGAAGGGTTTGGGGAAGGGGATGGGATAAGGCTGGAGTCAAGGATAAGGTTGGGGCCTGGCTTCAGGTTGCAGATGTGTTTTTAGGGATTGTGGTGGGTGGGTTTACACTCAAGTGGGTATGGTCCAGTGACTAGCAAGTTGGAAGGGGCATGGGGTGGAGCATGGGATGGGGGGAGACGGGGCTGTCCTTGGAATGCAGGTGAGGAAGGATGGGTTTGGAACTGGAGACAGGCTGGAGATGGCCTTGGTGACAGCAGAGGCTGATGCTCAGGCATCCTCTACCCTATGCAGGCCTGTACAGGAACAATCTCCTGCAACAGTTCCTGGAGGCCTGGTACAACCAGAAGTTCCTGGGCACTCACTGCACTTTTGGGGATGACCGACACCTCACCAACCGCATGCTCAGCATGGGCTATGCTACCAAGTAAGCTTAAGTGACCAGGTGGTTGTGTGTGTGTTTGTGTGTGTGCACACACGTGCATGCTGAGATTCTCTAAACCCAAAGTAACTTTTCCAATAAAGAGGCAGGGAGAAGAAGAACCATAAGGGACAGAGGGTGCATTTGCATTGAATCAGTGGCTTTTAAGATGAGAGCTATTGGTAGAGAATGGAAAATACTATAAGGAGCAGGGGTGACATTTGCATTAAACCATATGAGATACTAGTGGAGAGTGGAAGATACCATAAGAAGTGGGGGAGGCTTGCGTTGAACTACTCAACCCAGTGGACTGTACCAAGAGAGGCAAGGCAAGGATGGGGGATTCCACTTGGGAAGGAGAGAGTAGGTTCTACCATGGAAACCAAGGTAGCACCTGTCACTCTAGGGGACTGAGGTGAGGTTGGAAGGGGTGGGATATAACTACTGAGAGAGGCAGCAAGAAAAGAGGCTAGTGAGGGAGGAGAGGAGGGCCTAAACTCCAGTCAATGCTTCAGGAGAAGAGAATTTGGTCAGTGAGTTGGGGGTGTGGGGTAGGGATGAACTAGGTCAAGAGAAGTTTGGAAGAGCATGATTACCTTGAAGCTACACCTAGTGAAAGACCCAGAGAAGATGTGGGGTACAGCAGGGGACCACTGGCAAATTGTCAGATTAATTCATTCACTCAACAAATAAAGTCAGGCATGGTGGTTCATGCCTGTAGTCCCATCTACTCAGGAGGTGAAGATAGGAGAATCTTGGTCCCAGGCCAGACTGGGGCAAAATCTCCAGACCCCATCTGAAAGACAAACTAAAAGCAAAAGGACTGGGCATAGCTCAAGTGGTATAGAGCACTTGCCCAGCACTCTAGAGGCTGAGTTCAATGCCTAGTACTGCTAAAAAAAAAAAAATTAAGTACATAAAATGTTTTGAGCTCTAGGGAGACAGCAGTAGACAAAAGGGGCACAAATACATGCTTACACTGACTGAGGACACAGACAATAAATAAATCAGTAGATCATGCAGTGAGTTAATGATACCTACTGTGGACAAGGGGGAATGTCTGGGGAGGGGGGTGAGCTGTTAGATGGAGTGCCTGGCATAGGACAGGATGGAGGCTGACAAATGTATGGCTGGAGCAGTGAGCCAGGGTGAGGACTGAATGTTAAGGAGAAGGTGTCCAGAGGGAGGGCAGAGAGCTAACAGAGTCCACTCATGAAAGGCTTGCAGGACTTGGACTAGGATGAGGGAACCAATGGAGGGTTTTGACCAAAGGACTGAGTACAGATTACAAGAACAGAAGCAGGTGGGCCACTGAGGATGACAAGTGACACAAGGGAGGGAGACTGAACACTGTCAAGTATTCCCTTGGGGAGAGAATAAATTGACATCCCCTATGAACTGACCACTCACTGGTGACCAGATTCCGTTGGGCCTGGGTGGGTCTGGTGGGAAACCTTGTGGAGACTGATTCATGATGGCTGTCATGGCCCAACTGTTCCCTTGAGAACGTCTAACACGTGGACTCCCCTAGGTAGCAACCACGCCTGTCTTGTTCTTCACAGTAGCAGGCACAATGGTGTTCGTAATATATTAGTAATAGTGTCAGTGACTGTAGTGACATTAGTAATGCCAATAGGAATGGTATTAGTCACAGTAAAAATAGTAGTAGTGAACACTTATTGAGCAAGTACCACATATAGACCAGTCTTTGGTACGTGAACTTTAATCCTCATGCAGTCCCAACAATATTCTCAGAAGCTTTATTGAACCGTTTTACATATGAGAAAACTGACCTCCAGAAAGGTTAAAAAGACTTGCCCCAGGCATAGGGGCGTAGCTTAAGTGGTAGAGCACCTACCTAGCAAGCATAAGGCCTGGAGTTCAAATTCCAGTGCCAACAACCACAACAAAAAGTTGCCAGACTGTGTCTCAAAATGTCATCCCAGCTACTTGGGGAGTCAGAGTTTTGGAGGAGCAAGTTTAAGGCCAGCTCAAGCAAAAAAAGTTAATGAGAACCCATCTCAAACAAAGAAGCCAGATGTGGTGGTGTACAGCTGAAATCCCATCTACACAGGAGGAGGACCACCCAAGCCAGCTAGGGCAAAACTCGTGAGCCCCTATCTGAAAAATAACTAAAGCAAAAAGAATTTGGGATGGGGGGCATGACTCAAGTGATAAGAGCACCTACCTAGCAAGCTGTAGGCCCTGAATTCAAACCTCGGTACCACCAAAGAAAAAATAAGAAAAGCTTGTCTCAGTGGCTATCCACAGTTGTCATTTTTGGCTCCAGAGGCCTCCAGCCACCCCCATCCCCCCCCAACCCAGGGAGCTACTCTGAAGTCCCCCTTTCCTTTTCGCACCTGTCCAGGTACACCTCCCGGTCCCGCTGCTACTCTGAGACGCCCTCCTCCTTCCTGCGCTGGCTGAGCCAGCAGACGCGCTGGTCCAAGTCCTATTTCCGAGAGTGGCTGTACAACGCGCTCTGGTGGCACCGGCACCACGCGTGGATGACCTACGAGGCGGTGGTCTCGGGCCTCTTCCCCTTCTTCGTGGCGGTCACAGTGCTGAGGCTCTTCTACGCTGGGCGCCCGTGGGCGCTGCTTTGGGTGCTGCTGTGCGTGCAGGGTGTGGCGCTGGCCAAGGCCACCTTTGCAGCCTGGCTGCGGGGCTGCCTGCGCATGGTGCTGCTGTCCCTCTACGCGCCCCTCTACATGTGTGGCCTCCTGCCCGCCAAGTTCCTGGCCCTGGTCACCATGAATCAGAGTGGCTGGGGCACCTCGGGCAGGCGCAAGCTGGCTGCCAACTATGTCCCTCTGCTGCCACTGGCCCTCTGGGCTTTGCTGCTGCTGGGTGGACTGGTCCGCAGTGTGGCCCAGGAGGCCAGAGCCGACTGGAGTGGCCCTTCCCGGGCAGCTGAGGCTTATCACCTGGCCGTGGGGGCCTGCGCCTACCTGGGGTACTGGGTGGTCATGCTGACCGTATACTGGGTGAGTGTGCGGAGGCTCTGCAGGAGGAGGACAGGGGGCTACCGCGTCCAAGTGTGACCCCCACTACGTGGCTGCACTGTCCAGAGTCTTCAGGAGAGGCAAGAGGAGACCTGGGGCTCTCCAAGTGCCACAGACTCCCTGGAAGGGGGTATACACTCCCTCTCTGGGCCTCAATTTACCCGCTCTGTGAAGTGAGAGGGTTGACCTAGACTTCAGTTTGCACAATATTGGGGCTGGAACTTCTGGATTTCTGGGGAGGGGTATTTATTGGTCAGGGTGTAGGATGTGGGATGGTAAAAGGGCCCCGATTTCTCCTTGTTCTTATTGAATCTGTTCGTACTGTGATTAGGACATAATAAAGAATATTATTTATTTTCTTCTGAATGCCTTCTTGCTTTTTTTTGGAGAACATAATTGGGGGGAGGCACTGAGGACATGATGGGGGAACTGGGGACTCTGGACTCCATTTGGGGTGTTGGTTGTTTGAACCTGGACAGGATACCCTCCTTCTGGGGAATCTAGGCCCCTTTTCTGGAATATATGGATATTAATCCATGAGTCACAGTTGCTGTGAGGATTAAATTACTCACATCATTCAGATACTTACTGGCTACCCTATCTGTTGATGCTTTTCCTCCTCTATCCACTCCTACACTGAGCGCATTTTATTTTTTTGGTGGTACTAGGGTTTGAACTCAGGGCCTTGCCCTTGCTAGGCAGGTACTCTATCACTTGACAGATGACCCCAACCTTTTCTGTTTGCTTTTCAGATAGAGTGTTACGATTTTTGCCTGGCTGGTCTGGGACTGCAGTCTTCTTATCTATGCCTCCTGGGATTATAGGAGTGTGCCACCACATTCGGCTTTCTCTAATATCTAAGAAAGTTAAATTATCCTTTTCTTCCTGCCTTCAGAGCCTCTGTCACAGGCTTCCTAGCTCACTGAGAAAATAGAGGTCACCAGAAAAAAAAACTCTCAGAGGCCACATCTTACCCCTTACTTGCGTCTTCACTCTCACATGCAGAGGCTGAACCCTGTTCCCAGCCAATGCCAGCCCCTCTTTGGAACACCAGACCCCCAAGCCTTCTTGTGGACTCAAAGATGTCACTGTGGAAGTTTTTTCCCACCTGATCTGCAATTATCAATTCTTCCCTTCTTTTGAGGTCTTCACAATCACCATACAAACATCTATCATTCTCTCTCTCTCTCTTTCACACATACACACCACCACCACCACCACCACCACCACCACCACGACCACCACCACCACCACCTCTTTTTGGAGATAGGTCTCTATGTTGCCCAGGCTAGCCTCAAACTTGTGATCCTCCTTCCTCAGCCTACCAAGTGCTGGAATCACAGGCATGTGCCACCACACTCCAGTTTATTCTCCCGTTTTTAATATTCTCTCTTGAGCTATGTCCTATTTCTCTATTAATTACAAAACTTCTTGAGAGAGCTGTCTGGATTTGTCTCTAATTTCTCTCCCATAAACATCAGCCCTTCCAATATAGAATTGTGCAGCCATTACTATAATCTAATTTTATAACATTCTCATCACTCCCCAAAAGCAGTCACTCCTTGTTCCTCATCTTGCTATCCCCTCAAGATCGAGGCACTACATATCGGCTGTCTTCTATAGATTTACCTATTCTAGACATTTCCTGTGAAGGGAATCATGCACTATGTACTCTTTTATGACCCTTACTTAGCATGATATTTTCAAGATTTATTCATGTTGCTGTTTGTAACTGATACATCCCTTTTTGTTGCCAAGTAATATTCCATAGTATGCGTATGTCACATTTTGTCTATCCATCTATTGGCTGGTGTACATTTTGGGTGCTTCCACTTTGGAGATATTATGAACATTAATGTACAAGTTTTTGTGTAGACATAGGTTTTAAATTCTGATGGACATATACCTGGAAATGGAATTGCTAGAGCCTATGTTAATTCTGTTTGATTTTTTGAGGAATGGCCACACTGTTTTCCACAGGGCCATACCATTTTACACTCCCACCAGCAATGTTACAGGGGATCCGATTTCTCCATACCCTTGCCATATTTGTTATTACCTAACAATTTCATTACTAGTCATCCTAGTGGATGTGAAGTGGAACCCTCATGGTGGTTTTTTTTGTTTTTTGTGTTGTTTTTTTGGGTATGGCCATACTAGGGTTTTGAACTCAGGATCTCATGTTTGCAAGGCAATTGTTCTACCACTTTTTTTTTGGCAGTACTGGGATTTGAACTCAGGGTCTGTACACCAGCCCTTTTTCTTTGTGATGGGTTTTTTCAAGATAGGGTCTCATGAACTATTTGCCTGGGCTGGCTTTGAACCTTGATCCTCCAGATCACTGCCTCCTAAGTAGCTAGGATTACAGGCATGCACCACTGGCGCCAGGTGTGTTCTACCATTTGAGTTATGCCCCAGCCCTTTTTGCTTTTAGTTATTTTGCAGATAGAGTCTTGTGATTTTTTTTCCTGGGCTCACCTCAAATAGCGATCCTCCCAACCTCAACCTCTCAAGTGGCTAGGATTACAGGTGCCAGTCTTGGCTTGTCTTCATGTGGCCCCTTCACATTGGAGAAACCTCATCTCACCCTCTTATCCATCTCCACTGGCTTCCCACCCCCACACCCCCACACCCAGTGTTACCGGCAGCTCTGAATGCTTCATTCATGCCTCATGCCTGCAGATGGAAATCCTCAACTTTTATTTGCAGACCACATCTCAACCACAGATTCCAAATTTGCATATCCAAGAGCGTCAAAGACATTTCCACGGAATGCTAAGAAACACTCATCCTTGACCTTAATCTTGCCTCTCCTTCCCCCAAATCCCCAGGAAACCTGTTCTGCCAGTAGTCTCCCTTTATCTTTCAAATGATAGAAACTTACTGCTCACAATAGTGATGACTACTATATGGGCCAATAAAACATTTTTTAACTTAAAATATTTTTCACTCATTCATGAATTCAGTTACAGACACACTTCGCAAGTACTTGCTGAGTTCCACACACTGCTAGGTTGTTTTTTGTCTTTTTGTTTGTTTCTTTTTGTGGTACCAGGGTTTGAACTCAGGGCCTACATCTTGAGCCACTCTCCCAGCCCTTTTTTGTGATGGATACAATCTCATGATTTGCCCAGGCTATCTTTGACCTGCGACCCTCCTGATCTCGGCCTTCTGAGTAACTAGGATTACAGGCGTGAGCCACTGGCGCCTGGCCTTAAGCCATACTTTCTTTTTTTGGCAGTACTGGTGTTTGAACTCAGGGCCTCGCGCTTGCTAGTCAGGTGTCCTATGACTTTAGCCATTCCACTACTCCCCCCCTTTTTTGTGGTGGCACTGGGATTTGAACTTGGAGCCTCACGCTTGCTGGGCAGGCCAGTCTACTGCTTGGGCCATTCCACCAGCCCTACACACTGCTAGATTTGCAAGTACAAAAACAAGGAAGAGCTCCTGCTTTCACAGAATTACTAGCCAAGTAGACAAAGTATGGTTTAAGTGTAGATCAACCAACCCAGACAACCAGCTGGGTGGTGATGCATACCTGTAATCCCAGCTCCTCAGGAGGCAGAGGCAAGAGGATTGTGAGTTCAAGGTCAGCCCCAGACAAAGTTACAATGAGACTCTATCTCAAAAACAAAATAAAAAGGTGGGACTGGGGTGTGGTTCAAGTGGTGGAGCACTTGTCTGGTAAGTGGGAAGCCCTGGGTTCAATACCCAGTACTGTGAAAAGAATCTGACAATGCCTGTGCGTTGCCATAGAGCAAAGCTACCTAAGGATATTATCTCTTCCTCTGTTGCATGGGGCATCTTTCACGTGCTTCCTGGACACAAGGGGCTGGAGCTGCTGACCTGGGCCTCACATTCTCACCCAGGACTCTGTACCTCCCTCTCTCACACCCAGCATAGTAAAACCCACAAGGTCCACCTGCTGGAAAGATGTGGAATTACACCTCCTCACCTTCCCTGCCATTGCCCCTCTCCCCTTCATCTTTTGCTTGGATGACTGCTGTAGGAACAGTGGCTCCTGCCTCCACCCTGGCCCACTGCAGTCTGCTGTCTGCACAGTAGCCATGTACATCAACTCATGAGCATCCTTGACTGAGGAACTGCTGATGACTTTCATCTTAGGGGAATTCAGACTTTACAGCAGGCCAGTGCCTCCCAGGACCTGGCCCCTGCCCCACAGGCTCTCTGACCTCACTATGTGCTCAATTCCTGAGGGCCTGCTTCAGCTACCTGGCCTCCTAGCACTTCCTCCTACATGCCTGGCACTCCCGTCTCAGCTTATGCCCTTTTCGTTTTGTGCCCTAAAAACATTTTTTTCTTTTAGACAGGGTAACTCCAGCTGGCCTGGAACTGGAGGTCCTCCTGCCTTAGCCTCTGGAGTGCTGCGATTACAGGCAAGAACTACCACATGTGGCTGCCCCACTCTTTAACACAAATGTCTATATGGCTTACACCCTCATTCTCTTCTAGTCCTTACTCAAATGTCACCTCTTCAGCCAGACCTTCTCCAAAGACATTATTGCTACCTCTTCCCCCACATTATCCCATCTCTCTACGCTACCTTCTCTTTCATAGCTATATGACTTGACATGTACTTTACTTAATATTATTGTCTGTCATATAGTGGAAAATACATATTTGGTGTCTGCCCTCAGTTACTGACATACATCTCCAAAATCCTTATAATTTCCTGAGTGATGTGAGTGGTAGGAGCATCCTACACAGAGCTCCCAAGTACCTTGGAATTTCCTTCTGGATAGGAGCATCTTTAGTTCTGCTGATAGTCTTGCTGGGCTCCCAGATGGGGCAAGTCAGCTATCCCTGGGATATTCAGCCACCTGCCATCCTTGGGGAAGGAAGCAGGGTGGATATTAAGACAATAATCAACCGTGCTTACATCACAAAGTGTCCAGGAAAAAAAATGCTTAAATGACAATATGTGTCAATGAGAACTTGATAAAGATGATGTGAACACATCACATGCTGGGAGGGTGGTACAACTCCGTCCACAATGCCATGGGTATGGAAACTCCTTCACCCTATGTACTTCTTCATCTGGCTATTAATGTTCCTTTTATAATATCCTTTACAATGAACTGATAAATATAAGTAAATGTTTCCCTGAAGCTATGCAAGCTAGTCTGTTTTTCTTTGTGGTGCTGGATGGGGGTACATTATAGCATTTACAAAAGGTCTTACAATGTATCAAACATATCATAAATTCACGCCCCTCCACCATTCTCCTTGCAAGCTACTCTTGACTATTTTTGAATTAGGGATGAGGTACAGATTTTGGGAACACCCAGCTTTGTGACCAAGTGGACAGAAGTGTAGGTGCCCTGACTGGGTACTATTTATGACTAATATCTAATGTGTGGGCAATCTTGTGGGCATGATCCCCTCAGAGTCCTGGAGTTTGACACTAATTTAGGGTAGTTGCTTTCAGAACTCACTTATATCATAGGGTAATTCCATTGGTGGCTGGAGAGTTGGGGAAGTGGTTGGTAAGGGGAAAAAAAAGTCCCACATTATATGGTGCCAGAAGTGTCATGAGTACAGAAAGTTCACCTTTATTGTTCACTGAATTGAATTTAAGTTAATGAGAGCAGATTTTTTTTCTCTTATGATTTCTTTACTGATTAAACACCACCTTAAAAATACCTGGCACAGAGTAAGCGTGCAACAAATATACACTAAGTGTATGAGTTAATGAAGGGGAATACATCAAAGAACAAGGATGAGTGCCTGCTCAGTGGCTTCCATTTTAGGCAAGGAAGAAATGACAAAATGAGTTAACACTATATCCAGAGGAGTTCTATGCACAAGCTAAAGTAGAGCAGTGCCAAGCAGTCATGAGGGGTCGGGGAATAAAATGATGTGTGAGCTGGAACCTTCACAGTAGGAGAGAGGTGAGCTCGTGAAGTTCAGAGGAAATTCATTTCAAGAGCCAAGAGGAGCATGGGTTGAGCTTTTGAAAGTTCAGGGGACCAAAAAAAATGGAACCCACTGGGGCTGAAAAGTAATAATGGGGACAAGGGAAAGGTGGAGACAGTAAAATAAAGACAGTGCTACCTAGCTAACTTCACACTATTTTGGGGATTAACTGGGTTAATGATGAATGGGGAAAAATGTAATAAAGGGAGGGGGAGAGAGTAGGGGGGCAGGGAGATAGAAATACTTTCTAGCACATGCTATGCTGGTAACAACATGTAACAAGGTTCTAGGCAGAGCTGGGCCCACGTGGCTCACACCTGTAATCCTAGCTACCCAGGAGGCTGAGATCAGGAGTATCCCAAGTGGGCGAATAGTTCGAGAGACCCCTATATCCAAAACAACCAGAGCAAAATGGACTGGATGTGAGGCTCAAGCAATAGACTCCAAACAAAATACAGAGCTGAAACATATTCTTTATTTTAGGGATGAAAATAGGATAACAGATACCTTGGTTAGTTGCCGCTGAGGTACCATCGAAAGAAAAGCCTGGGGAAAAGAGGTGTGTGCTGGAGAAAGGGTGGTTACAGAATCATGGGTTCTGGACCAGGGGAGATCTGGGTCTCAAAGGTGGATAGGGCTTGAACCCCTGGGTCTGAGAGAGGAGGGCTGGATGTGGACCCCTGGGTCTGAGGGAGGAGGCTGGGGCCTGGACTCCTGGGTCTGAGGGAGGAGGTCTGGGTCTGGACCCCTGATCTGAGGGAGGAGGACTGGGGCCTGGACCCCTGGGTCTGAGGGAGGAGGGCTGGAGCCTGGACCCCTGGGTCTGAGGGAGGAGGCTGGGGCCTGGACCCCTGGGTCTGAGGGAGGAGGTCTGGGTCTGGACCCCTGATCTGAGGGAGGAGGGCTGGGGCCTGGACCCCTGGGTCTGAAGGAGGAGGTCTGGGTCTGGACCCCTGATCTGAGGGAGGAGGTCTGAGTCTGGACCCCTGATCTGAGGGAGGAGGGCCAGGTATCTGGACCCCTGGGTCTGATGGGGTGACTGGGGCCTGGACGCAAAGGTCTGAGGGTGGAGGGTTGGGCCTAGATCCATGGATCTAAGGGAGGAGAGTGGAGTCTAAACCTTGGGTCTAAGGGAAGAGGCCTGGGTTTGGACCCCTGGGTCTGAGAGAGGAGGCTGGGGCCTGGACCCTTGGGTCTGAGGGAGGAGGATGGGATCTGGACCCCTGGGTCTGAGAGAGGAGGCTGGGCCTGGACCCTTGGGTCTGAGGGAGGAGGGCTGGGGCCTGGACCCCTGGGTCTGAGGGAGGAGGGCTGGGGTCTGGACCCCTGAGTCTGAGGGAGGAAGTCTGGGGCCTGGATCCCTGGGTCTGAGGTGGAGAGGTGGATTCTAGACCTTGGGTCTGAGGGAGAAGGGCTGGGTCCTGGACCCCTGGGTTGGAGGAAGAAGGGTTGGGGCCTGGACACCCGGGTCTGAGGACGGGCATCTGGTCGCCGGGACTCACCACACCAGTACAGTGGCACCCACTGATGCGAAGGCAGCGATGGCTGCAAGCAGACACAGGTTGCCGGGCGTCAGAGCCCCGGGGCTGGCGATCAGCTCCCCCAGGCTGGGCCTCCAGGGCTCCATCATTTCCGTGTCGCGCGGCGACCAGCGCACCACTTCCCGGAAGGTGATCTGCAGCTCCGTCTCACGGCGCGGGGGCGGGCCCGTCACTGCGAGGCGCATACGTCAGTGGGCGGAGCCCCGCCCCTCGATCACGCCCCCTCGCCTCGGGGCCCCGCCCCGCTCACACCATTAAGAAAGAAGTAGAGCCGCGCCAGGGGGCGCTGGTCGTGCTTGATCACGCAGGAGAAGGTCCCCCGGTGCTTGGGCTGCACCGGGCGGATCCGCGCCACATACCCTCGGGCCTGCGGCAAATCTCGGAAGAAGGACACATCCTGAGTCCGGACCTGCGGGATCATTGTGGGCTGAAGCGGCTCCGGGACCCGAGAGTGCCTAAGCCTAGCTACCCGCTAGGCGCCCACTGGTGGAACAGTCTGCAAGCCCCGCCCACGCGCTAGGCCACACCCCCAGCCTTGGCTCCGCCCCTGAGCCTGTAACTCCCTCCGCATCCCTGAGTGGACCCTCGTGTTTCTTCCTAAACCCTGACTCAGCCCATACCCTGAGCCCTGACCCTGGCCCACCATCATTTGCCTCGATCTCTCCCTAAATCTCGGGACCTCCTTTTGCAAGAAGCTTGTGTGTAGACCGAGCTCCCCAAATCTTTCCCCGCTGCATTACTAAACCCTTGGGCTGGCCCCACCCCGACTCACACCTCCTCCAGCGAACTTCCAGGAATAGGTGATCTCCTCCTTTGGCAGCTGGAAGTTCACGACGCAAGAAAACATGGCCTGGTCCCCCCGATTCACCATGATGTCCTGAACTGAAGATGAATGGGGTCGCTCCCAGGAGCTCACCCTCGTCAGGCCCTGCCCATGTCACACTCCTTCCCCTGCTTGGGTCCAGTTTCCCCATTTGGTGGTGGTCCCGGGCACCTCCAGCCCCACTCCTCACCAGGACAATCCAGAGGGAGGTCGCAGAGGGTGGAGTAGCACCTACGGCAAAGGAAACGTCTGGCGATCTCCTGGACTCCTGTGGGGCGAGAACACAGGGCCTGGGCTAGTTCTGCGGTGGGTCCCCATCCCATGTGCATTGGGCCAGTACTAGGTTTGGGGTGCTAATGGTCTGTTTCATTTAAATGACTTTCACTCATGTCTGCTTTCTAGAACTCCTATAGGTTTACTTATATTTAGACCCATCTTCTATGAGATTTTTTTGAGCAATGCTTGGTTTATTCATTTTTCTCCAAGACTTATTGGCTCCTTAAGGTCTGAGGCCCACCCATGCTCTCCCACCTAAAGTCCCAGGTTTGGACCCCGACCACCGCATCCCTTACCCAGCATTCTAAGGTTTGGATTAAGTCCTTACCGCAAGGAGGGATGCAGGTCTGAACTGCAGAGAGAGAAGAGGGGTTACTACCAAGGAAGTCAAGGATGACTAAAAGTCTCCAAGGGGATGTAATGGGACTGGAAACCTTTCTCCGAAGGGGCTGGGGCCAGGCCTGCAAGTGACACCTGGGGGCGGGGCCAAGTCACAGCACTCCAGTCCCAGAGGGTGAGGCCAGGCCCATTGGGTTCCATTCACTGGTCAGGCTCAGGCCTACTGGTAGCCATCTATGAGGGTTGGTAAAGTAAGGGCAAATGTGTGCCCTGAGGAGTGAGCGGTCAGTCCCACAGAGGGTCAGGAGTAGATCCTAAGGAATTCTAGGAGGGGCCAGAGCCTAATTAGGAGGCCCAATTAGAGCTGTGGTCAGGGTAGGAGTAGTCCACTAAGCAGGCCCAAGAGAAGAGGGCACCTTTCTGGGTGTGCAGTTTCGAGAAGAGGCCTGTGCAAGTCTGGGTCAAGACCATGCCAAGACCGGTCCTAGCTGGACAAGAAACCTTTGGTCGAAGGGGCAGAGCTAGATGCAGAGTGGTCCACTCTGCCTCAGGAGTCACCACTAAGGGCTTGGCATAGAAGTCCAACCAGGAAGGGTGGACTGAGCGGAGCAGATAAGAGGGTCTCTGGAGTGGGGTTGCCTAATTGTGTGTGTGTGTGTGTGTGTGTGTGTGTCTGGGCGGGGGTGGGGCTGAAATTTATTTTACCTTCTTTAAGCTGCAGAATGACCTTCTTCATTTTTTCCGCGGCATTAGGGAATGCAACCTTAAAGGACCCTGTAGGGTGGAGCAGGGCCTTTGTAGAAACTTTCCTTACCTATGGCTGGCCTAGTTGGCAGAACTTCCTGTCATGGTGTCTGTAGCCCTTCCCTACCTATGTCCCTATCACCACATCCTCTATTCTCTCCTCCTCCCAGCCATCTACAGTGACAGCTGACAAGTCCCTGAGTCTCCTTCCTCCTGCCTCCTCTGTCTCTCTCAGATGGACAGAGCATATTCTGTAGCTCCAGGAAGGGGGAGGAGGATCAAATTCCTCACTGGCTGACCTAATTCCTTCTTCCTTTCAGTTCCATCCTTCCTGCCCACTTTCATTTCCCTTCATATGAAAAGAACTACCATTCCCCATCACCTCAGGGCCTTTGCACATGCTGGCTTCTGTTTCTAGTACATTTTCCTCCCAACTCCTACTCAACTCCTTGTCTTATACCTCAAGTGTGATGGCCTTAAAGGTTTACCATCTCCACAAATCTGTAGTCTAATCAAGTTCTGTTTTTATCTCTCAGAGTGCCCCATTTTGTGCATAGCTCCTGATTGCCATTGCCTGTGTGTACGCATTTATACTTACACCAATCATTTAAGTCCATCTCTTAAGTAAATATGTCCTTTTATAGTGCTGTGACAGACAACGCTCAATAAATGTGTAGAATGAATTCTACTCCAACTGGAAGTGGAGACCACAAGCAGTGGCCTATGACTAAATCCATTCCTTGGATGTTATATTTGGCTTGAATTTTTTTTTCTTGCCTTACTGGAGCTTAAACTCAGGGCCTACACCTTGAGTCACTCCACCAGCCCTATTTTTGTGAAGGGCTTTTCAAGATAGGTTCTCATGAACTATTTGCCCAGGCTGGCTTCAAACCGAGATCCTCCTGATTAGCTAGGATTACACAAGTGAGCCACCAGTGTCCAGCCTTTTTTTTTTTTTCTCATGCACTGGTTGCCAACATAAAAAATTTGGGAAAGTCACATAAAATGTTTGTCATCTCTTTGTGTCAGCCACTCCCTTTTTAACAAGGCACACCAACCCCTCTCCACAGCACCAGCTGCTATACTATTCATTTTTACCCCATCTTCACTCTTTTAGGTTCTCTATCCTTGGTGTTTTGCTTCAGACCAAATACCTCAGGGCCTTTGCACATGCTGGCTTCTGTTTCTAGTATATCTGGCTACAAAGTATTCTGGCATTTTCCAGTGGCGTTTTGCCAAGAACATGAATGGTTGGACTGATCTCATGGTGGAGGTGGTGTGGAACTCAGAAATGCGACAGGGTGTTAGGAACTGAATTGTGTCTCCTTTTCCCCCAAAATTCATATGTTGAAGTTCTTAGGTTCGGTGTCTACAATGAGTGTGCCTATATCTAGAGAGAGACTTTTTAAATAAGTGATTAAGTTAAAATGAGGTCATTAGGGTGGGTCCTAGTTCAGTATGAATTATGTCCTCACAAGAGAAAATTAGGAGCTGAGCGAGAAAATTAAGATCTGAGCTTTGATGGCCAAAGCTCTGGCAGTCATATAAGACCATGAGGGCAAAGGCTATACCCAAAGATGGCAGAACAGAAAGCTGGAAGGAGCTTAGGTCCCCAAGAAATTGGAGCTCTCCCTAAGTGCCTAACTCAAACATTATTTTATATGGGAGAAATGAACTTCTAGTTTGGTTAAGCCATTGCAGGGAGGGATGAAGGATCCTCTGTGACATCGTGCCATACAGAAGGGAAGCAATTGAGGGTGCTGGCCAGAGAGTGGCTGGAGTGGTGACCATACGGTGTACACTTGGAGCGAGGGGCACTGAAGCCAAGAAGTGGGTTCAGAATGAGCAATCTGAGGACTTAGAGGTCTCTCCTTGGCCACAGAGCAGGAGTATGGTCTAGAGATGGCAAGATGGTCAGGAGGATGTGGTCAGAGTGGGATGTTCAATGAGAGGCCAGGATAGTGGAGGATTCACCCATAAACTTAAATGGGCCAAATCAATGATTCACAGGGAAGGTGAGTGTGGGATATACCAAGTGACCCATTGGAGGGTGGAGTGGGTTTATATTTCCAGTAAACTGGAGGAGTAAAGATGGAGGAAAATATTTCAAACGGGGCAAGGGGTGTGAGTTTTATCAAGTGAACCATAAGAAGGTGTAGAAAAGAGAGTGGCATATCATTAGGAGCTCTTACTGTGGTTCAGATTGTCTGGGTTTGAGTCTTGGCTCTTGCATCTGTGAGCACACCTATCTCATACCTGAGGAATCCATCCCAAGCCCTTCTTATGTGACCTTGCCTGGTGACTTAAGTTCCTGATTGCTTCCTCATACATAAAATGGGAACATTTAAGGGTAAGGGTATGGGAGGATTAAATGTCAGACAACACAAAAGCATCCTCATCCTACATTGATGTCCTGGATAAGATAGTCTATAAAACCTTTCACTGACTCACTTTGGATGCCATTGGTATTACAGAAAGGAGGGCAGCTATTATTACCATCTCCAAACATGAGATGGAGAAACTGAGGCATGAAGTTAAGGAAGTGGTCTAAGGTCACACAACCACGTCTGAACAGAGGTGGTCTAGCTCCAGAGCCTCCAAACCTAACTGTTCATATGGCATGTGACCCTCTCTTCTATACAGTTTCCGTGTCTATTACCCAGTTTGCTTCAGACTAAAGTGTTTAAGATTTGGGGATATTTAATAATTTTTGTAGTATTTGCATATGCATAATCAGCTATCTTTGGGATGGGACTCAAGTCTAAACATAAAATTGATTTATGTTTCATATACACCTTATACACAGAGCCTGAAGATAATTTAATGTAATATTTGGAGTTCACCTGAATTTTGACTGGGACCTGTCACATGATGTCATGTGGTGTCATGTGGTGTCACATTCAAAAAGCTTCAGATTTTGGAGTATTTCAGATTTCAAGGCTATGGATGTTCAACCAGTACTCCACTATCCACTCCAGGGCTTATATATACCAAGTATATCACCTGAAACCACCAAGAGGCATTGCTAGGTTGGCCTCTAGTCAACCAGAAGTTGTTCCTCTCTCACCTGGAAGTTCTCCATTTCTCCCAGCCGAAAGTCATCCATGTCTCTGACCTGAAGTCATCCTCACTTTTTCCTCTCCCTCTCACTCACATGGTCTGGCTCAGTCCCTCTCCAAACATCTCCTGTCTGCCCTTCCTTTCCAATAGTCCCCCATCTGGAAAGTAGGAATATAAAATTCCATCTCACTGGGCTGGTGTGAGGATATTATTTAGCAGGATAATTAGCACAAATAACTGCCTGGCAGACACAGCCCCTCCCAAGCACAGGTATGGCATACAGTCAAAACTCCTGGTCTTCCTTCTCCATCCTCAGCTCAGACCTCATCTTGGCTCACCAGACCACTGCGACTGGTCTCCACACTCCATGCCTTTTTGATGGCTCCATGTCTACCCTGGCCCATTCACTACCAGAGATCTCTTGTTAAATCATAAGTAACATCCCATCTTTGTGTAAAACCGTCCAAGAGTGCCCCCCATCTCAAGAGTAAAAGGGGAAGTCATTCCAATGGCTTACAAGAGCAATTCTCAAGACCAGCACCATCAACATCAGCTAGGAACTTGATAGAAATGTCCATTTTCAAGCCTGTGTCAGACTACTGGTCAAAAAAAGAGAACAGGTCTAGCTATAAACATTTTAACAAACTCCCAAGAGATTCTGATGTACCAGAGGGCTTGAGAACCACGGGTTTGCATGGACAGACAGCCATGTGACCCATGCCACCTCTCTGATTTCATCTCCACTCCAGTCCCACTCGCCCCAGGGCCTGTGCACTGAGTCTTCTCTCCAACTAAGACTCTTTCCCCAATTATCTGGCTCTCTCCATCACCTAACTCAGGTCTTTACTCAACTAAGCTTTCTCATTTACAACTCTGAGCAACCTCATTATCAGCCCATTCTCTTCTCTGTTTTTCTCCACAGCACAAATCACCAACTTACATACTTTACGATTTTATTGACTAATTTTAGTGCCTGTGCTCCCCCGACTCCCCACCCCCATCATCCCAATAAGAGCAACTTGAAGGCAGGTTGTTTTCAGTTTGGTCCAGCTGTGTCCGCACTGGAGTTCCTGGCACATTCAATAAGCATTTGTTGAATGTATTGCACCAGTTTCTCCTGGCTTTCCCTCTTTCCCTCCAATGGGCCCCAGGGGGTCTTTCTATACACAGAGCAGACTCTGCACTTCCCCTGCCTGTAGCCTTCAGTGGCTTCCCAGTTCCTTCAGGGCAGAGCGTTAAGTCTCCCTTTTCCTCTGAACCCAGCATCTGTGTATCTAGCTGCCTCCAGGAGGTCCCCTGCACCCCTTACAGCAATTATGTCCTAACCCAGCTCATTGTCCATCATCCTCTGTTCCCACTTCAGTTCTTGCTTGCACGTTCCTCATCTCAGGGATGATCCACTGCCAACCCAGGCATGGAACTAGATCCCAAAGACAGTCTTCTAACCTTGACTCTTTCCTTCCCTAACTACTCTGTTCCTCTTATCCCTTGACTCCCTCTTCCCTGGCTCCTCTCCTCCCCTCTTCTCCATCTTCATGGCCTCAGCTCCAACCTGGGTTCAGCCCTCCACCTCTCTGGCTTGGATCCCACCCCAGCCTCCACACATGCACACACACACACACACACGTCTCACCCGCTGTCTAGGCTGGTGACTTGGTAGAAGTCTGGCCCTAGCTGTCACCTGAATGATCCACTCCACTGTTCCTGTCTTTCTGTCCCCTCATCAGCCATGCACATCACAACTGTGGAATGCCTTTGTTAGTTCTAAGTAACATATTTATGTGTGTCTTGGCCCAGAGGAAGATGTTGTTTCTGAGGTCTGTCTCACAGGGGACCTTCTAACACTGTGCCACTTTACAGATGTTGAGGCCAAGAAAGGAGCAGTAATACATCTAGACTTCATAGCCAATAAAATGTGAGCCACAGCCAGAGTGCATGTACCTGACCCCACCTGGCTTTAGATTCTGGGTTATTTCTACACTTCCCTTCAGTTCTTCTACATCATCTATGACTCCATTAGCTCTGGTGCTTTTTCCAATGGATACCCTAACTCACTCGTTCTCATTATCAACCCCTTCAAATCCAAACTCCACAAGACACTCACCCTGGGCAGCAGCCACCTCCTGGAGGGAGTGCATCATCTGTGTGAAGGTGTCGTGCAGGTTGTTTCTCTCCTCATAGTCTGAAGGTGGGCGAGGGGCAGGGCTGGGCCAGCAGCTCAGCCCAAACCAGGTCCCAGTGTAGACTTTCTATGTCTCTGACCTTGGCCTGCTACTCTCTGCCCCCTCTCTCTGGGTCTTCTCCAATTTATGTCCCCCTCTATGACGAATCTGTCCCAGTTGGTGCCCCCTCTCTCTAGGTCTCTGCCCTATGTCTCCATCATGGATGGCCCTTGCCTTTCTTCTGTGCGTGTCTCTCTGTCCTTGCCTGTATGTCAGTCTTTCCCTCTCCCTGAGTCTCTCTAGGTCTGGCCAACCCCTCCCCAGTGCCCTTCTTCATAAGACGGTCTCCTCACTGATTTCCATGTCTGAGAGACCCTCAAAGGCAGCCGTGAAGGCCTCCTCACACTGGTTGAACTCGGGGCCCTCCATCCCCGCAAACATCTGGCAGATTCGGACACGTTCACTGTAGGTGGTGAAGCAGAGGAGACAGGCCCAGGGCGAGGATGCCCTGAAGACCAGCAGGGACAGGAGGGCAGATACAACAGCAGCGCTCACCAGGGCCATCTCAGAGAGTCTCAAGGCTTGAGGAGAAGCTGGTGGCCTTTGTGAGGTCACTGCTGCAGGATGGGGGAGGGGCCAGGACCTGAGGTCAGAGGTTGGGTTTCAGTTGGTGGTCAAATGTCAGGCTGTATGGAATGGTATCAGGGGTCACCAGCAATGCCTAGGTTTAGTGGTTGGGCCAGATGCCAGGCTCCCAAGAACCTCACCTGTGACCCTGGATGTCCTCACAGGTTAAAGGGTCTCAGGGACCCAGAAGCCGGCAGTGCAATGTATGGTGGCCCTGACAGGTCCTAGGGTACGGCGGGGGAGAGGAGACAGATGGAGGCAGACACAGACACACTGAGTGCCAGAAGACAGGAAGTAGGCAAAGAGACAGAAACAGAGACACAGAGAGACATCAGGAGAGTCAGAGAACCAGAAAACCACAGAGACAACTTCGAGGAGCCTGAGGCAAGAGGCACAGAGACAGAGAAAGCAAAAGAGATATGCTGATGACAGAGAAACTTTCTGAGGGAAGGGCTAGGATATAGGGATGTGGACAGAGAAGACAGCCCAGCTCCTCCCAGGGTCACTGGGCAGCAATGTGGCCCTGGGGGTCCCCGCTGCCCCGTCCCGTGCAGGGCGCAGCCTGGGGAAAGCTAGGAGGCCGTATAGTGATCTCCTTGGGTGTCCTCCTCAACTATACAACCTCCTACCTCAGCCCGGGGGGCGCGGCAGGTGGACAGATCGGACAGATGGACAGACGGGGGAGGGGGGGGCCAGGAGGGCCAGGGAGGGTGGGGAGGGCCGGGGAGGTCCCAGCCGCGATGGTGAGCCCCCGACACAGACCCACAGACACGAGCTTGTGTGCGGCGAAGGCCCCGCAAGGTCGGTTCTACGGGTGGGTGCCAGGACCCAGGAGTCCGGGCCCCCGGCCCTCTCCTCCCCAAGGAACCCAGGAGTCCAGGCCCAGCCCCTCCTCCTCAAGGAATCTAGAAGTTCAAAACCCCAGCCCCTCTTCTCCCAGGCCCTGATATTTAGGCACCAGCCTTGCTTCCTCAGACCCAGAAGTTCAGAAGTCAGCTCTCCTCCCTCAGACCCAGGGGTCCAGGCCCTAGTCCTACTCAATCAGACCCAGTGGTCCAGACCCCAACCTCCTCCCTCAGACCCAGGGGTCCAGACCCCAGCCCTCCTCCCTCAGACCCAGGGGTCCAGACCCCAGCCCTCCTCCCTCAGACCCAGAGGTTCAGACCCCAGCTCTCCTCCTTCAGACCCAGGGGTCCAGACCTCAGCCCTCCTCCTTCAGACCCAGAAGTCCAGTCAGGTACTTCCCTCCCTGAGAGAGGTAGAGCCTGAAAGGTAAGCTGTCTTCTAGGGTGCAGTTGGAAGGGCTCCTGACCTGTCTAGGAATTTGGCCTGTTGGGCACCTCTGCTCCTTCTCTCCCCTTCCTGGTCAGTAGCAGAGACTCCAGGCCAAGGCTGAGGGGGTTTAGGGAGTTTGAACCCTTCAAAGCTCCCTGGTCATTTCTTGCTGTTTCTGCCTCTCTCTTTTGCCTCTTGATATTTATAATGATAGCAGCAATGATCCCTGAGCAATAACACCACAAGGCTGCGTGAGCCCGTCTTCTCTGACACCTCCCAGCCCAGGGGTGGAGGTGCTATCTGCATCCCATTTTGCAGGTGAGCAGGTTAAAAAGGCTAAGCCTCAGAGTGGAAGAGACCTGGCCAAAGTCAGCCTGCTGCAGGTGGGAGGAGCCCTGGGAGCCTGCACCTATCTTCTTGCCAGGCCACTGAGCTCAGAGCAGGGCCCCCTAGGTGTCTCTCCTCTTCCAGTTCTGGGGCTCCCTGTCCATCTTCCTGTGTCTTTCCACCTCCTTTCTTTCTTACCCTGTCTTTTCCTCTCCCTCTTTCTTTCTTAGTTTGTGTCTTACCTGACTGTCTCCTCTGGCATGTGCATGTCTATTTCTCACTGCTGAGCTTACTCTGTCCCTTTGCTGTCTGTCTCCATCCGCTTTTCCCCCCTCCTTGTATCTTCCCTCGCTCAGAGATACTTTCTCCCCATCTCTCATTCTTTTTTTCTACCTTCTTCTGTCTTTCATCCTTCTGTCTCCTCCCTCCCCTGGCTTTGTCTCATTCTCTCTGACCCTCTCTCAGTCTCTCTCTCCATGTTTCCTTCTCATTCTCACCCTTTTCCTCCCTACCCCCCCTCCGCTTTTCTATCTGGCTTCCCTCCCTCTCCCTCCTCCCATCTCCCAGTCTCCTCTCCCTAGGTCTCAGTCTCTCTCCCTTTCTCTCCCTCTTTCTCCTTCCCTCCCTCTTAGGTTTCTCTCCTCCCTCCCCTCCCCCCATCTTCTCTCTCTTTCTCCTTCCCTCTCTCTCTCCCTCCCCCTAGCAGCTCGGAGCCAGGTCTGGAGCTGGGGGTGGGGTGGGGGTGGTTTGAGAAGGGGCCCAGGGCTGGGGTAGCGACCTGCTGGGGGGGGGGGAGGAGACGCGGGAAGGGGGCGGAGAAGGAAAGGGGGAGGGGGCTGGAGTCGGGTCTGCAGTCCCAGCTCTGTTCCCCCTTCTCTCCTTCCCAACCTCCCAGACCCTCCGGCGGGGGCGAGAGTTGGGCCAAGGTGGGGAGGAAGGGGAAGGGAGGAGGCTGCCCCCGCGCCCCCCCCAACCAACCTGGCCCAGAGCCCAGGCCTGGGTTCCCAGCATGCCCCGGGGCTGCCTGGGGCCTGAGGAGGGGGGTGAGGGGAGCGGGGAAGTGAGAATCTTAAAGATTCCCGGGACCTGAGCATCTCCCTCAAACCCCAATCAGTTTCTTCTAAGGGAAACTGAGGCCCGGAGAAAAGGGTCAGGACTGGTTCAAGGTCACTGCACAAGGCCTTGGTGCAACTCCCTGGGTTCACAGACCGGCTTTAGGGCAGGGGTAGGTGCTGGACTTCCCCCAGACTTGGGTCCCCCTCCCCCTCTTTGCAGACCCTGGGGAGCCCCCAAGGGTCAGAGAGCAGACCCAAACAGTCTGGCACCATAGCAACCATCTGGCCCCGCCCCCTTAACCCCCGGAGGGCTGGACTCCAGCTGGGGCTAAGGAGGAGGTGGGGACCCCTGGGTTCCCGGAAGGAGGGGCCCGCCCCCTCCCCAGACCAGGCGGTCAAGTAGAAAGATGCTGGGGGCCTGGACTCTTGGGTTCTAGTGGGTGGGATTGGGGGGGGTCTGCGCTCCTGGGGAGGAGGAGCTGGGGTTCTAAGCTCTGGGGTTTTGAAGGGGGTGGGAGCTGGAGTGTGAACTCTCCGTTCTGAGAGAAGAGGCTGGGCGTCCAGACACCCAGGTCCAGGGGAAACAGTGGTTATGTGTTCTGATTCTGGAATTCGGGGAAGGGGCTGGGTGCTGGACTCCCAGATCTGCGAGAGGAGGGGGCTGCGGTCTGAATCCCGGGTCCTCAAGGGAGCCTGGAAGCTGGGCCTCTCTGCCAGACATCCCCTGCCCCCGGCGCTGACCTGGGCCTGTCTGGCAGCCCAGACAACCTCCTCCTCCTCAACCCCCCTCCCACTTGCACGGCTCACCCTTGACCCCTCAAAGCCCCGCAGCCCCATTCCTGCCCCTCCCCCTCCCCTCCGGCCAGACGTTAACCCTTCCGAAACCGCAGGGCACCTCCAAAGCCAGACTGTCTTCCTCCACCTCCCCTGAGGTCTGGGTCATCGTGTCCCCAGTCCCCTCCACCCTCTGATCCTACATACTCTAGCATCATCTGTGCCCTCCCTCCTGAATCCCAGAGATGTTCCCACCGTCTTCAAGCCTCTGGACCCCCGAATCTAGATTCGCAGCACCCTCCTTTAAAGGAATCAGAAGTCTGAGCTCCCAGCACCCTCTCTACCCTTCCTCCCTCCCACCCCAGAACCCAGAAATGCAGGCCCTGCTGCTTACTCCCTCGGGGACCCTGGAGTCCGACCCAGGCCCCATCCCCCTCCGGTTCCGCAGACTCACGGCTCCGCGGCTCCCGCGTCGGAGGAAGGGGTCTCCGCCCGCCCCGGGCCCGGCGGGAGGACGCAGCGGCCGGCAGTCCTCTCCATCCTCTCCCGCCGCCGCCGCCCGCGGCCTCTCCCCTTCCTCCCGCCGCCCCGCCATCCTCCTCCCCAGCTCCCCGGCTCCCTCCGGCCGGCGCCTGCTCCGGGCTCTGCAGGGCCGGGTCTCCCCCGCCCAGGACCCCGCCGGCGGCGCGGCCACGGACCAGCCCCCTCCCCGGGGGGCCCCCGCCCCGCCCCTCCCCTCCCCTCCCCACCCCACCGCCCAGCCCAGTCCGGCCTGGCTTCCCCCCTGCCCCGGAGCTGGCCCCGGTCCAGGGGAAAAAATTCCATCCAGCCCCGGGGAGGAGGAGCGGGGCGGAGGAGGGAGCGGGGAGGGGAGGCCGGGCCAGGGGAGCATGACGCAGGGAGGAGGGAAGGGACAAAAGAGAGGCCGGGAGCGGTGGCGGTGGCGGCCGGCGCTCCACTGCTCCCTCCCTCCTTCCTGGCCAGTCCCTGCTTCTCCGCAGCTTAGCCTCAGTCCCCTCCACCTCTCCTTCCTTCCCTGCTCACGGCCTCCTCCCTCTTCTTGTCTTCACCCCCCCCTTCTCTCTCTCTCTCTCTCTCTCTCTCTCTCTC